TTTAGCAGCATCAACGCATAAAACTAAAATATGAAAACTTTTGAGAGCAGTAAGAGAGAAATTTGAAAATTAACAAAAACAAAATAACATTGGATAACATGATTCCTTACTGAAAACACTTACAAGCCAACTGCGAAATACCTAACACACAATAATACTTCTCGCAAAACTATCAAAAACGGAATTACTTTACTGTACAAAGCCAGATGAATTAAAATGGCTTCTAAATGGGAGCCTTGGAATTTTTGAGACCAAAAAAATTTACTAGCTACTTCATTTTCCAACATGCTCCAATCACTGCATCCGCATTTTTTGAGCTTTCCTTTAATTCCAAATTGTGAATTCACTACGACAGATCAAACCACTCAGAGTTGGAGGGAGATGCCGATTATATTTTTGATGACGACAGCTAATTTAACCTTCTCGCTGAGATGAATGATGGTGCCAATGTCATTACTGATAATTGGCCATTTAAAAGGTTTTAGTGCGCTGTACAAATAATGGACAACCGCTGCAGTAGCATTACTTCTGCAAATTACATTTCTTATACTTATAGATTAAATAAAAACACTTCACATCACCTAGGGGTCTTCATTGTTAGTTTTGTAAGTATCTTGGCCGGCGGACAATCCTATAGCTCCATGGCGCACGAAAAAATAGCAAAACTCGTGGACAACTTACTATCAGGTGAATCCATATTGCACCTATGAGTTCCAAGCTTTTCAAAAACGATGAATTCTTCGGCTTTTTTAGTTAACGATGCAGCAAATCCTTCACTCACTTATACGACAACAGAAGCGCTTATTAGAGAGGCAATCGAAGTTTGTACGCAAATTCTACTCGATCAAGACACAATGGTGGAGATTGAGGCACCAGTAAATGTTAGTTTTGCTCTATAGAGAAAAATGTGCTGAACTTCTGGATTTTGTGATCTTTAAAGTAGTTGTGGTCGGTAGGCAATGAGTTTCTTTAGAATGGGTGCCAGCCATCTTACTTGCAGC